CTAATGCTTTGATGTGCTGGTCGGGAGAGGGGGTAAATCGGAGAGCTGGGGTCAAATACCAATCAGGTTCGTTATATTCATTCCCGCAAAAATAAACCTTGGGAAAATGATGGATCCAAATCCTCTCCCCCAGCTATGGGTTAATAAGTAGAACTTGTATCAGTAAATTATTATTATCTCAAAAAATCTTACAATCTAAAAATATTGTCCTTCTAATGGCTGACATGCCTTAAAAACGATCAATCAAATCAAATATGGCCCAAGAGCTCTCAAAGTAGAGTGTTACTGGGCGAGATTGTTGAAATGGCGGGGGATTTAAGATAGTATTATGAAGACGAAGAGAAAAGATATCAGTCGATCCTGGACTTAAAGAGAGCAAGATTGTTGTTGTCACGGAAGCATACTCTTGGGAGTTTGTAAAAGTAACAGTTTGGGCAAGAAGTTATACCAATGGAACTTGCTTTTTATCAAAGAAACATGAGAATAGGGATGGCTTGCCATTGTGAACACAGACTGACGGGTCCTAGCTGTAAAGATCTGGTGACACTAAGAACCTCGAATCTAAACAGCTTGATTTCGTAGCTAAAAGGCTTGATTGAGCCTCGAATCTAGAATGCTTGATTGTGCCTCGAATCTAAAAAAATGATTGAGCCTCGACTCCAAAAACCTTTATTGACCCTAGACTCTAAAAAGCTAAATTGAGCCTCGAATCTAAAATACTTGATTAAGCCTCGAATATAAAAAGACTAATTGAGCCTCGAATCTAAAATGCTTGATTGTGCTTCGAATCCAAAAAACTTGATTGAACCTCGGATCTAAAAAGCTTTATTGAGTCCCGAATCTAAAATTCTTGATTGAGCCTCGATTCTAAAAATCTTGATTGAGCCTCGAATCTAAAATGCTTAATTGAGTCTGGGATCTAAAAATCTTGATTGAGCCTCGAATCTAAAAAGCTTCAAATACTTGTGAGAGGTTGTTTAATAGTGAGCTAATTCCGACGAACAATTATTATTATTAGTCAGTTATTTAGTCGATAATGAAGCGATCTGAAGGGGATTATTAATTTCCCTACAAAAATATTTAATGGATCCTCATTATAATTTAAGCTTAAATGAGTCGGACATCTAACAGAATTGTGTTGAGCGGGAGGATTTTTGAGATTTCTTGAAAGGGAAAAAGGAGAATGTAACGATAGGAGATAAAGTGATTAGAAAAATGTAGAATTTTTAAGAGAATTTCAGAAAGAAAGAAAAAAATAGACGTTCTAAATATTCAATTTGTGAGAAAGAGGGGATAGAATGAAAAAAGAAAGAAGTTAGATGAAAGAGAAAAAGGAGAAAGAACAGAATAAAAGAGAGAAAGAAGAGTACGACAGAGAAAAAGAGAAGGAAAGAGAGAAAGTAAAGAAAAATGGAATGAAAGAGAAATAACTTAGATGAAAGAGAGAAAGAAGAGAATGAAAGAGAGAATGAAAGAGAGAATGAAATAGAAAGAGAAGACAATAAAAGAACGAGAGTAGAATGTCAAAGAGACATTTTAGAATTAAAAAAGATTCATTTTTCTTTTTTTTTAAAGTGCAATTCACTCTTTGGCAATCGTTCAATTGATTTATCGATTATCGTTTACAATAATTGGACAGTCTTTATAAATCACTAGTAAATGATTTTGCTTCATCCTAATAAACATTGATAAAAGAAAATTTATAACAATATAAAAGTCTGGCATGACAATATGACTTATACGTTATGAGTTCCAACCATCTTTGACTATGATCAACGTTGAATCTTGTAAGCCACTAACAAAAACGCCTTCCACAATATTAAATATTTTCACAAGGCCTCTCCATTCATTTCAAGGTAAACCATTTTTTAAAAGCTTAAATTATTAACAATTAATTTCATTAATAACATTATTATTATTTTTGTTCTATGTCCTTTCAGCACGAAGACGATCATGGCTCTCCACAAATTCTGATCCGATGTAGCTCTTAGCAAATTTTGTATAATTACTATCCCTCTCAGATTTTGTTCTTTATCCTCACGTTTCCTCACTAAAGCCTTTTCAGCCTGTTTCACTCCCAGTAACCCCTTGCGTCTTAGTGGCATTATCGCCTTGTCTGGGGTGAAATGCTAAAAGAAAAAGAAAGGTTCTCTTCTGACATCCATTTACACTGTTGGTGATGACTCGCAGAGGTTCCGGCATTGTCATAGCCGTCCAATAACGGAACCTCTGAGATCTATCGCCAACAGATCATCCTGTAGAATAGGGGATCCCAAACTTCTTTTTCTCTGGGGCGCATTTTCGGAATTTGAATTTGATCGCGCCTCACCAAAATTTATGTGATAAAACGTACATTTAAAAATAAAAAAAAAACAAAAAGAGAGGGAGAGTTAAAGGAAGATAACTACAGATTTGCAGTCAAAATGTTATGATTGATAACTCTCTCCACCAATTTGCGGACCCTAGTTGCTATATTCTTAATATTTGATATAATGCAAAAATATCACAATCATAAAATAGGTTAATAATTATTTATAACTATTTATACTGGAATACATGCATGCAATTACAAGTTATCAATAATATTTTCAATTGTGAAACCATATTTATTTTTGGCACATGAATTTTTTATAACCATACTTATTATAAAACCCAGGTTGTGTGTGTGTGTGTGTGTGTGTGTGTGTGTGTGTGTGTGTGTGTGTGCCCGCGCGTGTGTACGTTTATATATTGGATCGGATTTCCTACATTTTTCAACCGATTTCAACAAAACTTTCCCTGGACTACGTAAAATTACCTTGCGGTGGTTCTGACAGCGCCAAAAATTAGAAAAACACAATTGTTTTTGCACGAAATCAATTTGAAAACACGATTAAGAGTCATCGCGAGAATGAAAGGGGGACAACTCATATCGAGTTATACTTATCATAAAACCCAGGTTGTGTGTGTGTATTGTGTCTGTGTGTGTGTCTGTGTGTGTGTTGGGTGTGTTCGTTTATATATGGGATCGGATTTCCTACATTTTTCAACCGATTTCAACAAAACTTCACCTTTTTTTGGCAGGTAGTGTTTCTTATTGTCTTGCACACTTTTTTCTTTATTTTTACATTCAGAATGCTTTTAAAATTCCATTTACAAGACAATTGTTTATAATAAGATTCTATTCAATCGATAGACTCATAACGATTGAAAACAATGTTTTTGTTTGAGTTTGGGTTTGACCAATTCGTAAAAAAAACAAAAAAAAAACTAATTAACAATAATAACCTTAAACAATAATCTTTGTCAATTTTATTTTTCAGTCTTTATGATGGTCGATACTTGATCTATCTCTTACTGTTACATCCCCGGGCAACGCCGGGCTCTACTGCTAGTTGTTTCTAAATCTTTGATTGTCTTTCAATCATTCCGCCTCACCTGCTATCCTCTTCCGCCTCACCTGCTATCCTCTTCCGCTGCACCTATGAAGCGCCCCGGAATGTTGTCTGTTTCTCTTACCCTTAGGTCAACCCGACGATTAAAGCAATCAAGGGACTGATGATCATGCTAACGATGATGATTAAGTAGGTGATGCATTGTTTTCATCCGTCGCTCTTGCTTCCACTATGTCCTGTGAGTCTCAAATCTTCTAAGCCTTCTTTTCTCATCATGTGGCCCAGTAATTTCAGCTGTCTCTTTCCGTGTCTTAGGTTCGACTATCGTCCGGTTCACACTCCTCCCCGGTCTTTCGAACATGAGCAGATAATCCCTTATTTCATGTTTTGGATCAGATTTCTGGTTCTTTCTAAACTCTTTTCATTCCCTTTCACTCCCAGTAGCTCCCTTTCGTCTTAGTGGCATTATTGCCTTGCTTGAGGTGAATTGATTTTTTAAAAAAGTACAAGTGTCCTTTTTATTTCCATTTTCTTTAGAGATTTCTCGTTGATTACGGTATTATCCATGGTATTTTCAGCATCTTTCTGTAACGCATCTTTGTCGCCGCAAGTTTTTTTTTTCTTTATCTGTGAGGAAATTGGCAAGCATTCATTGGAGTATTGATATGACACAGCTGTTCGGAACTCTTTTCTTTGTTTCTAAATGAATTTTCCTGATAGAAACAGGATTCTAATACAAGATTAGTGGATTTTATCGAAATTCTTTCTCGTTTGGAAGATTTTCATATGCCATATTCGTAGCCGCTGCAAAAGATGAGAATGTAGTTGGTTGATTTTGTTTAGCGGCATATCAACCTTCAGGGGTTATCTAATGCCGAAATTTAAAAATTTTGAATGCAATTGTCTACCTTGAAGCATTGACAAAATGTATTGTTAGTCATTTTGTTATAAATGTATTGTTGATAATAGGTATTAATATGTATTGTCGGTAATTTTACTATGAATAAGTATTGTTGATCTTGCTAACAAGACGCTTCCTCTGTACCTAAATGGTATAGCACGTCAGACTATATGACGGTTCTGTGTAGGATTCAGGTTCTATTTCTATTGGAGCATACATATTTTCTTTGAAATCTCTCGGGCATCCAGGCAGATAAATGTTGTTAATACTGCTTATTATAAACAGAGCATTTAATTAAATATCTATTTTTAAAAAAAATTAACGTATAAACAGAAACTATATTAAAATAATTGTCGGATTTTGTCCATTTCATAATATATGATGTCATTTGTTTACGTTAAGGTACGCTTCGAGTAGATATGAGCGTTCCAGTGAAATCATAGAAAATTTGTAGTTTAAATACTTTCATAGTATTTTGTCTTTTTTTGGGAGTTCATTATTCGCCCATAGCTGGGAGCCTAATAGTTGCTACCACTCCAAGTTAGGGTGGACCTGGGAACAACAACAATTAAAAGGTCGTTCTGCGCACCTCAAAATCTCCAGTCTTCTGATCAGAGGCCTTGCAGCCGGATGTAGTTCGTCGTGATACCTAGAACTTGCGAATGTAAAATATCGGCAAACAAAACTTATTTATGCAACATTTACCTTCTTGTCGAGTGTACTGC